GATGTTTTAAAAAGTTAACATTTCTTGAAGAACAATTAATTGCTCAAGTTCACGAGGTTATTACAGTATATCGATTTAAAACCCTTCGACCAAGTTTCCGCCTTGCCGTGGCGGAGGGGCTTAGTAGCCGTGGCTCGGTGACCCTTTTTTTAGGGCAGGGTCACGGGAACGCTTTCGCACACTTCGGCGACTCTACGTCGTTGGGGTTTTAGTCGGTGCCAGGCCGACATAACCCGCTCTTGCCCTCGCGAGCAGCTTGGGCAAGTATGCGTAGGCATTTCCCCCAGGTTAACAAAAAAAAAGTATATCGACTTAAAGGTGGTCAATTTGATTGAATATACTTGCTAAATCATCAATTTGCATCAAGAAAATGATAATTTAATTTTCAAAGTGAAATGCAATTAGCTTTCGCTATTACAGTTTACAAGTCACAAGGCTTAACATTAGATAAAGCTGTTATAGATATTGGGGAAAAGGAAACAAATATTGGGCTCGAATACGTTGCATTTTCAATAGTAAAAACACTTTAAGGATTAGAAATATATACCTAGGCGATTTCCCTTTGATAAATTAAAATGTAGGAAGCAGAAAGAAATCCGTATGAGAAACCTAATGGCACAGAATTAATATAAGTACTAAACAATGTTTGATAAATAAAAAAATATCTAAAGTGATTGGTCGTATTAATTTATTTACTTCGAAAAACAATAATTTTACCAGTTAGAAAAACTACGCGAGCCCTCACAAAGCTCAGTTTTATGCTAGTTGAGAAGCATGAAGCGATTTTCCAGCCTATAAGACTTTAATCAGCTTCACGAAGTCATCGTACAATATTGACACAGCTCACATTGTTGTCGTCAATTTCTGACGCTTGTTTTTGAACCTGGCAAATCTGACTAAATTGCGAGATATCGTAGTTTTTCTATGTTATCTGTTATTTCTACGTTCTTAGGGTAGCACATGCGACAATATCGCACATGTGTATCATGATTTATCTAATACGCGTAGACGTTTAGCAGAGCAATAATTGCGCCAATTATTTTAAACTCCTATTATCTATTTTGCGTTTTAATACATAAGTTTCTAACAAAATAAAAAGAAAAACTATGACTTAGTCTTATTCGATATTTAAAAATTGAAAACTGTAATAATGTTAGAGCAGACAATAAATAATTGATGCTTTCAATGGTACATTCTTACCTATACATAAAACCCTGAAACCTCACATGAAGGCAATGTGATAATCTCAACGGATGCGTAAACTGTTAACGTCCAGTCACGTTTTATGCCTTATTTTCTCATTTCTCAAACTACCACTTGATATTTTTCGAGAATCACATTGAAATGACATAAGAAGAGCAAAAGGAGATTGCACTCGGTGCCAGCCGCACGCGCCTCAGCGCGGCGATTAGCGGAAGCAGATGCAGCCATTGGGCACGTTGGAGCTGCTCGTAACTGGAGCGAATGACTCAACGGCTCGTCTGTTGGCCCGCTTCAGAGTTGCGCCCCGGGACATTTTATTACACAATAAAGCTCCCCAACACATTTTCACTCCCGGTCGATACTAAGTATAGCATATTCACCAATTTGATCTTAAACTTACAACATTTACGGCTATAACAACGTCGTTAAATCCTCTGAACGATGGGAATAATTTTTAATATGAGGATGTATATATTCTTATATTTCTTTATGTTCTTTGATCAGTGTTGCATTTTCTTTGATCCTTTATGCAGCTCTGCCATTCTTATTTCATCGTCGACGTTACATTATTTTTCTTAAGTGTTATACGAATAGGGGTATTATTTTTTTACACGAACATCCCTGTATGGTTTTTTATTGCTTCGTATCATGCACTGACTACAAAGAGTACACTACTGGTCTTTTGAAACACTTAATAATTAAACAATGTTTTCAATACCATTAAAGGAAATCGTATGCATATTTAACGCCTCACTTCTATTTGTTTGAGCCAGGTACTTTTTTAAGTGAAAAGTTGCCAAGCGAGCAGGCGGTTCACCTGATGTTAAGTGAATACCGCCGCCCATGGACATCTGCTACACCCAAGGGTTACAGATGCGTTAACAACCTTTTGAAAATTGGGCTCCGGCCACCTCACCAGACGAAACGTGAAAGTATTATACTTTCGCTTTACGCTGGTCTTCCATGAGGTCGTGGTACTTACCCGGACAAGCCTGCCCATTCGTGCAACAGCCGAGGCTGCTGCGTGACCCTACCACCGTTAAACTTTTGTTACGTACTTTAACGGTGTTAGAAAAAACACGGATTATCTCTAATTAATTACTTACAAACGATGATACATTTTTATAACACCATTTCGCTGGGTAAAGGCTTGGTCTTGGTATCCTCATGAGTCCACCTTAAGCACTGAGTAGTCGTAGTCAGCCAAACTGCACGTTTCAATAATATGCTACTCGTATGTATAGATTGCGAAAAATAACGTTTCTTCATCGATCTTTCGATACAGTTCTAATACGAAAAGGTAACAGGCCCGTTGCTGTTGCAATAAGCATATCATCTCGAAACGAGCCAGCAAACTTCCTCGTTTCTCGTTGCCAGGTGTGTTTATCAAAATGCAAGCGTTGAATTGAAATGTTACCGATTGGCTGGCCTCCAGAACGCGTCATCGGCTTAAATATTTCCAAGTGGAAAAACGTCGACATACTGGGCATAGGCAGATTTGGCATGACGCAGAAACACGATAACACGCGACTGCCTTAATGTGTGACATATATGGACAGAACTGTACTACAATAGAACTCGATCTATGATTACATTATGTATTCAGTCATTTATCTTCGTTACTAAATTTCCATGATTTTACTAACTCAAGTACAGCTGTTTTTAGAAGCTATGCAGAACAATATGATAAATGTACCTTTCGTTGTACGAATTATTCTAGAAATTGATCCATTAGGCGCAAGAATTTTTATGTTTCGTTGGCGTTCAGCTAAGCAGACGTGTTGAGACGGTCAATCCAACGCTCGCCGGCCAACCGAGCAATTAACTGCCAGTCATAACAATACTCGTAACCGTTCTTGGCACGCGTAACGCTGGAAGCGTAACCATTGTTCGCGTAAGACCGGCATTAAGGGCGGTCCGCACACAAATGTTCAACTAAATTTACCATTCTTGCATAACTTTTTATACGAAGGCTATGACGTAAAGGACGGTACACAGCAAAACGTTGTTGAAATAATTCATAAATTGTTAACCGACCTTTTACCTTTATATATATATATATATATATAAATGCACTTTTTCATACGATTAAACCCATTTTGAAAACAGTTGTGCCACTCCTCCGCGGTGACCTAATAAACGTGTTTATCACACTCTTCGACAAAAACGGTTATTTTTACGGAATTCGTCAATAAATTTCGGCATACAAATGGTCATGTCTATATTCACGGTACGACGATTATTGAAATCAATAGTAGCCACGTGTGCAGTTTTATTAAAAAAAGAAGCAATCAACCGCCTACATGCACTTTTCACGCGCGCGCTTTGCTTGGTTTCGGCCCCGCTCGTTTGCTACTTTTTTTTGGGGTCGTAGCAATAAATCATGTTTCGTCACCTGTTACTATGCCCCACACCAAATTTGACGCCCCTTCCATGAATCTGGTGAGCATGGCATTGCAACAAGTGTCGCGGTCCGATTATGCAGCGGTCGACGGGCGACCACCGCGAGATTCGTCACTAAAATTGACACCACCGCGCTTGAATTCCGCAAACGATTTATAAATAGTCGTCTGGCATAGTGCTTCAGCACCAAAAGCAGATTGAAGCTGAGTGAGGCTCTGCTGAACTGTCCAATTACACTTAAAATTGTAGAAATATCACACTACGAAAATTTCCCCGAGTTAAATTTATGTTAATGTAGACACGTAATTTTTAAAATGGCGCCACAATGTTAAAAACAGTTGACAGTTAGATGTAACAAACTACAACCAAAGAGTTTCATTTTCAAATGTTGTAATCACTTTTTAAATATATTTTATGTAAGTGGCCAATTCGGGAAACTTTTAGTGTGACAGATGTTCTTCATCTTTCTCCTGTCTTTATCCTTGTGAATCATATTGTTAATGATATTGGGTAGGTTTTTTACGACCTACGACGTCATCAATATAAAATTGGATGTCTTTGTCGACACATCTGCGATCCTTTCCCACTGACTGTTGTAATTATATTGAAACCATGAGTATGGTGGGCAGTCGACCGCACATCCATAAATCTAAAATTAAATGAACAGAAATAACATATAAAATAGAACTGTTCGGTGTGTACCGGAATACTTACGTGCTTAAATAATTGCACATTATAAGTGTGCATATCAGAGTTTAAGTATGTCGAATACCCGCCGGATAACCTAAATCGACGGTAGTTAAGCGGGCTTTTGAGATTTGTGTCAGGTAAATAGTAACGTTTGCAGCAGTGAACGACTTGGATGTTTCATCTTCTTGTCCATGATGGATTGCGTCCCATTTATCCGTGTTTCAAATAAAAATCGTATCCGGTACGATAGTAAACTAGGCTATAAGAAATAAGGCAGTTTTTCTTTTTAATTTAAATTTGAGAAGGCTCGTCAAGCATCCATTTTGACTTTATAAGACCTTTGTTGTATCCTGCAGAAAACATACATCTTTCAAACTAAAACACAAAATACACACTTTCAATAACAGTAGTTTTTATTAACCCAATTCCCGATTATAACATATAAAATGAAACGATTTTACGAATCGTTAAGTTGAGCGAAAATAAATAAACAAAGCCGACGGTAGTCTGGATTAATTATGACATTAGCTCGTGACTTTTAAATCTTGCAAAACATAACATAATTCATATTGACTATCATGAAAAGCATATAACAGAAATAAGATTTACATACCGTGTGTTATAATTACTTAGGAATAGAATCTGTACGTGTGCCAATCGTTAGTACAGGAACGGTAAGAGTTTAAAGTGATATCCCTCGCCAAATGACCGTGCCTATCAAGTTTAGCGCGTTTTGTATCGCTGGTCGCGGGGCCGGCGCCGGGGCGGGCACGGGCACGGGTGCGGGGGGCCGCAGTAGGGCTCCGCGGCGCGTCGGTGCCACCTCGCTAACCCGTGCCCGTGCTTGCAGGATGCACGCGGTGGGCCTGCACTCGGCGCTCGCCATCCGCCGCGAGCGGAAGCGGCGCGCGGAGCAGCAGCGCGCCCGCGAGCGCCGCTACTCGCTGCAGTCCACCGAGTCGGGCGTCACCTCGCCCCACTGCTCCACCGGCAGCCTCGAGCGCCGGCGCGCCCACAAGCAGCGCCCCACCGACAACGAGGTGGTCTCCTCCGTGGGCATGCTGCACCTCGGCGTCGTCTTCCTCGTGCTCGGCTTCTTCCTCGTCGGCTCCGGCTGGCTCCCGGACGACGTCACCTCGTGGAGCAGCGTCGGCTCCGTGAGCTGGTTCAACGAGCTCGTGTGCTCGGGCCTGTTCGCGCTCGGCATCGGCGTGTTCCTCGTGGCGCTGCACAAGTACCTGACCAAGAGCGAGGAGGACGCGCTGGAGGACTACGTGCAGAGGCAGCTGACCAGGTCGCGCTCGGGCCACCGGCTGGAGCGCGACGCGGAGACGGGCGGCATGCACACGAAGAACGCGCGCCGCGCCCGCGCCTCCGAGCCGCCGCGCGACCGCTCCGGCGAGGCGGCCGAGGCGGCCGAGGCGGGCGCGCAGCCGGCGCACGGCTTCGTGAACGCGCTGGCCGCCAACGGCGACGCCGTGCGCGACCTGCCGCTCGAGCAGATCGCCGAGGAGGAGGCGTCCGTCGCCTCGGAGGCCGACCGCCGCCTGGCCAGCTTCAACAGGGACACCTACTCGCAGGCCTCCGCCGCCGCCAGCCTCAGCCCCGGCTCGCCCTCCGACACCAGGGAGCTGCTCTCGGACGGACGATACATGGTCATGTCGCGAATGTAGAGGGGCGCTCCGGACGATTGGCCGATTCGACGATTTCACAAGCATGCACACTCACTATGCACTCATTGTCTCCTTCGTTTACACTATCATTTGGTCAGAAGTGTTTAATGCTCGAACATACATCACGAACAGAGAAAACGTCAAAATCGTCGGATTACAAGAATCACTAAGATGAGTGAAGACGTTTTTCACACCGTATTTTGATTATATTAACTATCGCAGTAGTGTCTGATCACCGAGGAAGACATTAAAAGGACTTAGATAAGATTTGTAGGCTTTCCTTACTAAGAGATTAGTGTTTTGTAATTTTATAACCTTAGGCGCTTCACGATTGTACACGTTAACGGACGGACCAAGTCTTCGTAGATCTAAGCCGTAAGCTCGTGGCATTATATTACGGAACGTGCGCGGTGGACGCCATCGCACGCCCGATCCATCGAAGTTTATTTTGTTCGTGACGTCATAAAGCGACTTGGCGACTCTCAACGGAGCCTATTTCATGTGTATTTCGTTATAACTATTTTCTGTATATATTTTTGGCTTGAGACTGACTACTGTTAAAAGAATGCCTTTCAAAGGATTTTACTTTATTTATTACTACATCTTAAATTTCGACTAATTTTTCCTTAAGAAATTATTGTGATAATTACTATTAATTCAAAATAAAATAAAGATCATGTCTCTTTCCAATACGTTGACACTCTACTAGTGGGTGTAGTACAACAACTAGAGTACAGTTGTGCCAAAACATTCAATTTTATTTGAATGATTAAAAAACTACACAAATCATTTGTAGCCTTGTACTGATTTGCAGCTTTATTGAAACTACTTTTAATTTTAGTGATCTCATTCAAAAAAATGTGCATTTCAAGTTGGGCTGTGAACTTGCATTCTATTTACTTGGATATTTCTATTCTAATACTATTAAATTCAGGATTAAAACATAAAAATCGTGTGTTAATGAACACGAGCTTAGCTTCATGTTTCTCATTCATTAAAATTATCCCCTTCATCAATTCTAAGACCTGCGTTTACGTTTAACAAGTTTGAATCTCCATCATCGCCCAAATAGTTTTTAATGCTACATCATAATCTCGCTCTCGATATATGTATGTATATCTTCATATTGTCTTTGTTGTTGTTGGAATTTGAAAATTGTGGATTAATTTTGAGAATAAGTTACTACTTTATATACTTTCCCGTCGTATCATCATTTAGAGTTCCAAAAATTCCTACTACTATTTGCTGTTTCAGCAATAATCATTAAAACTGCCACCTCAAAACCTCGATATAGCTACAAACATCCGACAAACATGCTGTCTATAAAATGCCTTATAATAATTGTTCTTTATATTATATTATATAATTTAGTGATAAAAGCACAAATGTTAAATAGATTTTATGAAATAGTTGTCAAAATATTTATAAAAAATTTTAACAAACATTATTCATACGACACGAAAAGCAAAATATTTAAATAAAAGTTAAGCGAGTTAGAAAAACAGCAAAATCCAGTTGTTATATTTATAAATATAAGCATCAATTTTCATTCGGCGTCAAAGATGACTTTTATGATTTCTTTAACCAATTATTAATAACTTTTGAAGAAGAAAATTTGAATATAAATAATGTTAACGCATACGGATCGGTTATGTGCAAAATAGATCGATCTGAAACTGGTAACACACGAATGCTAGTAATGTGATATGTTTACTGCAAAGTGAATATATTTTAACACATATGAATAACCGTACCTACTGCCTGTCTACGTGTATAGTAAGATTTAGCTTGCGAGTAATTATTCTAAAACAACAAAGAAATGTGCGCAACCGAGTGCCCAGTGGAGAGGCAAACAGCTGCAGGGGAATGTGTTTGTTCTCTTAAAAAGTTTACACAACTCAATTTTGTATTTAATTACTTACTTAGTTTTATAGTGAATATAAGAGTGCAATATAAACAAAATACAGAAAGCTGTTGTATCTTTTGAAAATACGCTCATTCCATTCTAGAAAATTATTGTTTTAAAATAAACTGATGCATTTGACCATTTTATAATTTAAATGTATTCCAAGCAACCGATAACGCCATGATTTGTTTTATTGCAACTTACTACCAAGTTGTTACAGTGCTGGTGGTGAGGAAAAGCGTGAATTTAACGCTAAAATGTTTGAAAAAAATGATAAAATATAAACTACTTAAATATGCTGACAACAGCTCCCCCGTGAACATTGTTAAATAAAAAAAACTTATGTGCACTGATTAGAATGTTTTCGGTTTAACAATTATTTCCCATCGATGAAGAAAGAAATATTGTGACGTGCCATATTAGGGGACAGCCTCGCAGTAGAGCAGTATAAGTAAAATTTTGCCTATTTATGCATTAGAACGAGCAAATAAAATTGTGCCTTGCGATGTGCCACTTCGATGGGAAAAGGTTATAAATAGTCATTTTTCTAATACAAGCAACGTTCCTGCGCTGTTTATAGAGACGACTTTTGGGGTCCTGTCGTATTAATGAGGTCATAATTGAGTTTAGCTAAAAGTACTAAACCTATTATGCTGTTGCAATGTCATTTGCTCGTCCTTTTGCCTAATCTGTAATAAAAGGCGTACTATTAGAATCTACTGCACTTATCGTAACCGTTAGCAAATAAATAAATATAGTTGATGCACGTATATTAATTATGAAATTTCTTGTGCCTATACTTTTATATCTAGGTATTTTAATGATATAACTAAGGGTATTCGATTTTAATATATTTATTCATTGTATGTCACATGTAAATAAATCTCACATACATTCTTCAGATATTTAACTAATGTATTTTAAATCACAAGTTAATTAGAAATAATTTTACCATTAAAAATATTATCAAACGACTTTGTGCAATCGATAAAACAGGTTTGTCTTCAGAAACAACTCCTTACCAAGTCTGTGTTGGTCTCTCTTATTTCGTATTCCTAAACTGATATTTTCACGGTAATATATTGAAGATTTATCGATTGTGCAAATTCATTAGTTAATATCGATTATTTATTGCCTAAAGCACGCTTAATGCTATAGGCTTGTGACTTTTAATATTCTAAAATTTTATCGCACGTTCGTAACATCGATACCTGCTAATCTTGTGATTTTATTAAATTATACACGAGTAACGTATTATGTAGTGATGTTACTTTTTCTATTGTTCAAAAGTTGTTTCATTACAGTTTTGATGTTGTGCAAAGCTCAAAGATGTTTGTTGTGAATATTATATGCAATTTCGGTGTCGTGAAAGTTTTTATAAATGCATTTTCGCTATTTATAAGAAAACAAACTTATACACAATAAAATTCCTAAGTCGATTTTATACATACGTGTAAACGATCTGCCCTCATCGAAATCGGTAATAAGAGCACGTTTACTTTCAACAGCAGTTTCAAAAGGTATAATAAAAGCTAAGGGATTTCTTTAGGTCAACTGGATTAGGTTCCATCATAACATAAAACAACCACGCGGGATAAATCGATTGAAGAAATGATTTCCGCGATGAGAATCGGTTCTGAAACATCCCCGTATCGGCATAATTTCTCTATATTAGAACGCGTTGGATTCTAATATATAGAAGTTTTTCATTTATAAAGGAACATTTCATACAACTTTCTCAACACGGAAGCGTTTTTTTAATTGTTCTTAACTAGTTTAAATTAAACAAACAATCGTCTAAGCACCGAAATAGCGCGGTTGTATTTATGTTAGAGAGTACCTACTATATTTTATAAGCACAGTTTATTAAATTTTCTAATACTTTTGAATCTTTAATTATTTCCACAAAATTGAATAGATGTTTTATTTAATAGTAAGAAATATTTCTGTATGAAAGATTTTATTATGAATTTATGAGCGAAGCCGGCATTAATTCGCAATAGAGAAGATGCTTTACAGCGATCCATCGTAAATATTTACTATGCGTGTATCAATTTCTTTGAAATATAACTAAATCTTATACGTATCCAGGATGACGGAAGGATTCGAATTTTGTGGAAAATGAAACAGTCACAGCTCTGTTGTGTTAATGCCTACTTCTTTCAAAAATTTCACATTTTTTCTCGTATAACACCACCGCCTTATGCAAATATTTTATTTTACTCAATTTGTTACACTTATTATTATAATAAATTATGATAACGCTGAGGTTTTTTTACTTTATTAAATATCCCAATCATTACCCTAGCACTAACTGAAAATATTTCTAATATGCGCACTTTGATTGAGCGGGTCAGAATTTACTCACAGAATAATTAACAGAAAAGTCAAAGACTAAATATATCTTTATTAATCGTATCCAATTTTTATTATTTTATATAGATTTAATTTTGTAAATGTTAGATCAATAAAGTGTATTATCGTAACCAATAGGTAGGGGTTTAGGCTCGTAAACTGGTGATCATCGTAATTCACGATTGTGCTCACTTCTCGTAGAGGATGTTTTCCTCGCCGACGGAAAACACGTGCGTGGTTTTATGGTGATAAACACATCATGCTCGTTAACTTAATGTTAAAATTCAAATGAACGGTGAACTTGGCTTTCTAATTCATTGCGGTCATAAAAGCGATGGACCTTATTAGGTTAATATGTATTAACTATACGTATAAAATTATTGTGTGCCATCATAACATAAACCTGCGAACTATGTTAAAACAACATTTTGATAGAACTAGATCCATGCTAGGCAAAAACAGTAAAGTCGTAGTTAAGCCAAAACTTGGTCACATATTATGTGACTTTTTCTCCATCCCTTCGGTTTCAAGTAGCACTTTGATTTGGCACTGTGCCAGTGTCCGCACAATGCCACAGCCTTAAGAGGAAACGCTGAAGTCATGTTATATCGCACTCGATGTAAAATTCCAATGCACACCATGTTACATACACAAACGCACATTAACAGAACATGTAATTAACGTGCGTCAATAAACGTTGCCAACATATTAAGTATTTAATATGTTGGCAAAGGGTAAAACGAGACCCTATTGCTAAGACTCCACTGTTTGTCTGTCTGTCCGTCTGTCACCAAGCTGTACCTCATGAACCGTGATAGCTAGGCAGTTAAAATTTTCACAGATGTTGAATTTAAGTTGCCTCTATAACAACAAATACTAAAACACAGAATAAAAAATATTTGAGTGGGACTGCCATACAACAGACATTTTTTGCCGTTATATAGATAACTAGCTGACCCGACAAACGTTGTTTTGCCAATGTAAATTATTTTTAGGGTAGAAAAAAATTTTTGCGGTGGACCACCCTTAACATATAGGGGGATGAAAGATAGATGTTGTCCGATTCGCCACCCTGGCCGATATGCACACAAAATCGGTCGAGCCGTTTCGGAGGAGTTCAATTACAGACACCGTGACACGAGAATTTTATATATTAGATAAAATATTAAGTTATATGATATAACTTAATATTTAAAATGTCAATTATTGTCCATTTCTATACGTTGTTGTGTGCCGACAGTCTTAATCTAATATTCCCTATATGTTTCGTTTCAGCCACTTGATAGAAAATGTACATAACGTAAATAATCATTATTTCAAAAAATACGACTAACGTACGAGAGCCGTGATAGCTCATTGTCCGGGCGTTCAAGCAACCTGTGTTCAATCCGAAACCAATGAAATTATTAATTTTAAATGCCTTCTCACGTGCTCACTCATTATGTTTTTAAATGCAGTAAACGGAAGTTAATTCGTCAACCTCTCGTGAGACAAATTAATAAAGCCTATATTTATTAGGTAACTTTAATTAAATTTCATCTTCAAATTAAAATAATAAATAAAATATTCGTTATGTCTTAAGAACGTCGGAAAATTAATAAATTTGTTTCATTTAACTTGATTATTATCTTACTTATTATATTATCTTTGAGGATGTTAATACCTAAAAATATTTTTTTTACTTTAAGATCCGTAGCAGCTCATTGTCCAGGCGATTGGCCTTGCATTCATAGTCTCGTGCAATTTGAGTTCAAACCCCGTGAAAACAGCGTTAGTAAGCCTGGATGTCTAATAAAAACGCGCCTAGTTGGGTGTAATATGATTCATTAATCTATCAATTTTAAAGTTTTTTTATATTGCTAATCTCTGCACTTAAGATTGAACATTGAAACATGTTCGATTCCCACAGCGGCGACAATCTTTTCGTACTTTTTCTACATGTTTTAACATTAATCTATCAATTCAGAAAATTTATAAAGATGTAATAGCGAAATACTTTTACTTTTTACAGAACGATTACGACAGTTGATTCAAGTTCAACTAAAATTTACTAAGACGGTGCGATCGAATACCCATCTCATGACACAGCGATAGAACTGGTCCTGGAGTAATTAATAAAAAGGAAAACTATATTATGATGAAAACATACAGCAAAATCGTAGAATTTCATGAATATTCAGGAACGTTCAATAATAAATGTTTTGTATGTTTTGATTTAATTTGTGTATGAATGGAACCATACATTCATGGTCTTTCGATATCGGTATGGTATCTCGGATATCGATTCATAGTCTAAAATTCATAGCGTTAATCACTACAGAGTATAAAACAAAGTCGTCCCGCTGTCTATCTGTCCCTATGTATGCTTAGATCTTTAAAACTACGCAACGGATCTTGATGCGGTTTTTTTTTACTAGGTAGAGTGATTCAAAAGGAAGGTTTATATGTATAATACATTCATATGTATAATACATACTTTACTTCTATAAGTACGCATTATAATGGAACAATGATGGTAAGGTGAGCAGGAATTCAACTCTCTAATAGAAATGTACTGCCGTCCGTGTGAGTGCCGTGCATTTCTTCGATTCGTTCGTTCGGTTTGTTCTTTTCAAAATTCTCTCGATTTTTATGTGAAAAGTTTTTTTAAGTGAAGGGCGCCGTCAGGGACACCTACAACACTTGAAGTCTTGCACATGCGTTGACAACTTTTAAAAGTGGGCGCCGGTTACCACACTCACCAGACGAAACACGAAACTATAACACTTCCACTTGACGCCGATCTTCTGTGAGACCGTGATACTTCCCGAGCCTGCCACAGCCGAAGCTGTTCCGTGGCCCTGTGGTTTGATATGTACTCTGCATTTATTCAGACTTGTTCATCAAAAGGCAAACAACATAAGAACCGACGGTACAAAGCGTTAATCGCGCGCGAGGTATTATGGCGTTAGTGGGGGCAGCAGTAAGCGGATTGCGAACTCACATGGCAGCGGAAAAGACAGTCAGCGATACGGTTTGCTCTGCTCGATGGGCAGAAACAAATCGATATCGCATTAATGTGCCACGTTTTCTATCTTCATCGTACTTGCTCTCACCACTTAATTTTATGTTTTACTAATCGGAATCATCAAAGAATATAGATAATTAAGAATATGAATATTTAAATGTGTGCATATTTGAAAGATGTATAGTGTAAATGGATTAGTAATTTAAATGTACTTTACTTTTAGTTATTCTTTTTTTGCTTATTTTCAAAACCACCCCTAATGTAGGATCGTGTTTTATATTTATTACAATCTGAACATCATATAAATATCGGAATATCGGAGGCGCCATCGGAACAACAACCCATGGCGCCTAAGTTTATCGCTTAGCAAATGTGCACAACCATGAAACTTTATTTATTTACACCTGGTACTCTAAACATCTCGTAGTATACACCAGACACCCATCGTTTTATTGAATAAAAAACACGTTTTGGCCGAAAGTTGTCAAATGATAATTATTTTAAATAAAACTAACCTAACTTGGACACAGAATAACAACCAGCTATAATCACAAAGAGAGGTAAAAATGGTGACACAAGGTAACGCTTGTCTGATGGAAATGGCTGTAACAAAAATTCTTGGAAAAAGGCTTATACCATCTTTGAATCACCAATCATAAAAGACCATTTGGTATTGTTCAGTTTCAAGTTGGTTTTCGGGACGGCTCATTTGGAATTTTTTGCAACATAAGCGAAAATTAATGTTACACTTCTCATTCTTTCAGATATGCTCCAGTCTTTACTTCAACCAAGAGATAATCAGCGGTGTAAGTAGTTTCCGAATTCTCTGAGGACACATATTCTAGATACGTGTCGTGTTAGCAAATCATTTCGGCGTTGACTGTGGTAGAGCCACGCAACGGCATTCGCTGCTACGCCAATGGGCCCGCCCCGCCAGGCCAGGACAGCACCCACGCCCCACGGGTGGCCAGCGCTATTGGGGAGTGTTCACACTTTTGCCTTTCTACTGGTGTCGTGGTTGGTTGGCCTTGACTGTGCTTGACTTGAATGGCCTTCGATGTACCTGCGATCCCCTCGTGTGACAAATGGCAATGATCACTTGAAATCATCTGTTTGCTGTCAACGTCTCTGGATAAAAGTACAGATGAAATACTTTACTAATACGAACAAAATTCATATGAGCATATACTCTATTATATTCTATTATATACTTTGAAAATTCAAAATTTATATATAGTATTATTTAAACAAATTGACTTACTTGTAAAACCGTTGATCAGAATGACCAGCATCAAAATTTCATTTCCAAAAATTCTATACTTATTCGTTTTGGGAGAGCTATTGAAGGCTGTTATTCTGAGCCGATTAGACACTGAACTACTGCGGTTTGTCGAATATTTTATTGTATAATTTTTACGAACACTCGATTTTTAACTAATGAGATCTAACTGTTTTAAATAAAGGAGACCCAACTTTTAATGATGTACTTAATTCCTTTGCTCACTTTAATTCTCCACTAAAATATAGGAATAGGGAAATGATAGTCATTAAAAACGTTATTTTTATTATCTAGATCTACCTTGTACTAATATACTGCGTGATTATTTTTATTAGTTTATACTTTATATAAGAACTTTAAAAATGGTTTGTAGCTAATGGTAAACAAAAAAGATGCAAGTGGCTAAACTGTCGGCGTTATGTTTGGCAAACGTTTAAATACACTCTCTTTCTACGACTGACACCCCGCTGACGTTATGCCGTTAACACACTATCGTGTATGGCATTGCGTCATACCTTTTACCCAATTTGCCAAATAATGTAATAACAAAACAATAGCCAAATCCAACATTTATAATGGAATATCTATTAAAGTTCATTGCAATCATTCGCTCCACTAAGAATTTCACAGACATTCCATTAGAAGAAATTTTTCATTGCTTAAATGCATTTCTGTCCACATAAGCATGTACTGAGGTTTTAAGAAATTAATTATAACTATGTTTAGCGTTGACAACAGCATTTGAACTTTAGAGATCAACAATTGCCTCGTTTAAATGATGAAATTATTAATCAAACCGTAGGAGCTCTATATCCTTATAACGGTAGGTGGCAGAATGTTCGTATATGAACAGCGCTGCCCGTAGAATTGTGGAACAAGAGTGGGCTCGAAGTGGTATTAAAGGGCAAAAGTGTGACACCGCGCTGGTGTGGTGGTGGTGGCGGCGGTGGCGGCCCGTAGACGGCGCCGCGGAGGCCGCTGCGTGGCTCTACCACAGTAAGCGTCCCCGCGGTCCGTGTGCAGCGAAGATGATCGGCGCGATGCCAGCGGTGGCGGTGCGCCATGAGCGGCGGCGCGCCGAGAAGCGCGGCGCGGCGGGCAGGCGCGCCTCCGCCCTGCCCGCCAGGGACGACGACCCCGAGCCCGCGCACCGGCTGCGCAGCGAGCTCTACGTCTGCGGCAAGGTGCGGCCACCACTCTCCCCCACTCTCCCGCACTCTCCCCCACTCTCCCCCACCCTCACCCTCCTCGAGTTTTTAGTGAACTACAATGGTGTAAACCATCGGACAGTAGTGAGTCCACTTGGCTTGCAGGCGGCCTTGCAACTAGACCTAAATAGAATTGGTTTCTATTTTTTAGTGCAACTCCACCCCGCGGGACATTTGACTCACCACTTGCCGTAGTGTAAACCGTCAAATTAGTTCAGTGGCAGCAACAAAATTGTCCCAGTCAGTTAATAGCTGGTCCGGCCCTCTCGGGCACCCACCCTCGAATCGAAATGCTAAACGCGTAATGAGTGTCAGCCCAAGCCGAGATCCCCTCTCGGGGGCCCTTGAGCCTAGTCACTCCATGGAGCGTCCACCAAAGCGCCCCAAGGGCTTGGCGACCTCCCAAACCGGTGATAATAATAGCGTGACGTATTTTTTTGACTTTGCTCATCCATCCCGACAGAAATTCCATTGGATTTGCTGTAGTAGTGTCCGACCACACATCCGGTGCCCGCCACTGCCCTTGACCAATGTTAATCAGGCTTTACATTTCAAGCCTTTGGTCGCGTAGATTGCCACAGTGTACAACTACACAGGCACATATTTTCGATTCATCTATTTGCATGAGAATTCAATTTACACCTTCGTCTATTACTGCCTAATGAAAATATAGCCACAGTAACAGATCTTCTTACCGCCCCTCAGCTGGCGGCTCTGCATGCCGTAGTGGGCTCCCTGCTGCTGGGCATCGTGGTGCTGGTGGTGGGGCTGGTGCAGCTGTCGCCTGGCGCCGAGGCGGCCCAGCACCGCTACTACCTGATGGGCGCAGGCGCCTCGCTCGTCGGCGCCGGCCTGCTCGGGGCTGGGCTCCGGTAATGTTCACTCTCCCATCGTCTCACGTGCTCACTTATACCATAACTCTAGGTGGCTTTTCGTATTTCGTGTCGCACATTATGCTTATATTGTCACTATCCTGAGATGTCACATACGAATACGTTTCGATACATTCAAACGGGAATCGAAAGCTCAAAAAGCATTTTTACATATGGCGTACTATTAATAGGCACAGACTTGTTTCGATGGTGAACGCCCAATTCATATTAAGGTCATCGCAGTCTTCAGGCTGCGGGCAAGTGTGGCAATGAAGCATCAGTTACTTTATTTAGACTTCCCATATCGTTCCAATGCTCAAAACTGAAACATCGGCAATATTGAGAAAACCAATCGCACAACTTTTTACTAGGGCATACTGCATCGAAATAGAACTGCCGACACTTCAACTATAATTTAACTCGACTCATTCCTACCAAATAATAAAAGTAAACGGAATGTAAGATTATTCATCATATTAATCGCTATAGAGCGATGTGAAATTTATGACCAATAACATTTTTGATGGAAATAATAAGCAATCGCGGAATGTATGTATTACCGCGCCCACACTTTCTTTTAACTCTCTAGCAAATCATGTTACCATTTTGCCCACTCATTGTTTGCGTACGCAAATAGGACATCAAAGAGTAGGACCATATTCCGAGCGGTGGAATGTATTCGTGTCATAGAGTCAATTTGAAAAGTGAACAAAATCTAATAAATTGCTTAGAATTCGTTTTCATACTACAGTACGATCACTAGCACTGTTCAAAGCACAAAGCACATAGCGCATACGGCTGTAAACACTATATGGCGACTAACAGCCGTTTTCTATACTCTATCTACAGATCGTTTTTTTTTTGTGGATATAGAATTTTGAAGTATAATATTATCGAGCTAATGTCAAAACCAAACGCAAGTAACCAAATCTATCAGTAGATAGAAAATTGCAACCAATCAACAAAATCATGGTTGCCTGGTTTGTTAAAGGACACGCATTTGGGGTCATCGTCTAACATCAGTTGAAACGCAAGCTCGCTTTCCACCTTCTCACAAAAAAAGTTATGAGTGTAAATATAGGAGAAATTAAGGAGACTCATACTAAGTCGCTGTAAAGGCCTATGGTCGGACTGTAGTCTTGAGGTGTTTAATTAACATAGGCACTGATTCGGTAAGAAAAAGATTTATTATAATGACTACCGGTTCTCCGTACGTGAATGCCGTCCGTACGGAGAACCGGGCGCAATATAAGAAGCAACGATTCGAGTGGGGTGCGTGCAGCCCGCGCCCGCGCCCGCGCCTTCCCCTCGCTCGTCGTATGCGCCGCAACATGCTCCCCCTGTTGAAGTAGGTGTACTTCAACAAGAAGATGTGATTGGAAGAGGACATATATTATTATATGCCCTTTGGATGACACCCTTCCTGGTCTGGATGTCAGCCACTCTGCTGATGTTGTCTGGTCCTGGATATATTCGAATGACTCTGCCCAAGAGCCACATGAGGGGTGGTTGGTTCTTTTCCTTTACAAGTACGAGTGCGTCCAGCTTCAAAGAATCACTTGACGACTGCCACTTGACTTTCTGTTGAAGAAGTGAAACATACTCAATTGAAAAGCGTTTCCAAAAATGCTGTTTTAATTTACAATATTTGCAGTGCGATAATTTGCATTGCTTATCTGAATGTCCTGGCCGTAGGCAATTTTTACATACTTTAAAATAAGCTATTTTTTGATTACGACTTTTTACATGCAAGTCTCTAAAATCTTTACAACTAAATAAGTAATGATTTTTCATTTGAAATTCTGCATTTGATTTTCCTTTATTTAAATCTGATTGTTGAAATGAATATTTGTTTTGTGTTGTGTTTCTGTATGAATTTTCCTGTTGTATTGTGTCTAAAAAATCTGATCTGTTAGTTAAGAAGGTAAGAAACTGTTTTAGACTAGGATAACCTGTTGTTGAGTTACGATGTTCTTCCCACTGACGGAAAGTAACATTATCTAATTTCTTTATCATAATATGAATGACTAAGGTATCCCAATGATCTGTGGGCTGTCCTAAAATGCATAGTGCACGTAAATTTTTATTGATAGCATCAATCATATTTCTTAAGAAACTACTAGATTCTTTATGAGCTTTTTCTAAATTAAATATGGCATTGATATGATTATTAATTAAAAGACGTTCGTTATCAAATCTGTTTGTAAGTAAGTTCCACGCCATGTTATAATTTTCTGCTCTGAATTCAATTCCTTGAATAATTAAAGATGCCGTACCTTTTAAAGAGGCCCGTAAATAGTGAAATTTATTAATATCCTTAATGAGCACTCGATGCGGCATGCCATGCAGGTAAGTTGTGCGATTGATTGCTTCTTTTTGTGTAATTGTAGGGAATTAAAGCCTTATAAAAGGAACAGGGAGTCAAGCGAAAGGAACAACAAAGAAATCTGCATGACCATCGGCAGCTGCGGCAAGCGCTCTAAATCACAGTTGTTTGACTGTTGCCTCCGCCGCCCGATCGATTTCACTTTCGGAGGAATGCTACGAGATTTGCGTCATCGGTGGTCTCGTACAGACAACGCACGAGACTCAATCTATTGTTATCGGTTGAAAAGACGTGTAGGTTATGAGAAAGATGGCGCGTACGGTACAGCGAAGCGAACGTTAAGGCCACAACGGAAACTGATGGAAAGCACAAAACGGCACTGGAAATAGGTGGCGATAAATATATTCACTCTTGAAAAGCATTCTAAAATGTCTAACACACTTACACACGTTTAGGAATTATTGGAAATATTTGATTAAGATTTGATTACTAATACAAAATAAAGTAAATTTTAACAATACAACATAAATACTAAAATCGATTCTATTAAGTGGGTGCGCCTACAATTTAACCTACAACATTTTTTAATCTAAAACGAGAGGCTAGAATATTCTATTTATATTTAGTTAGTCAAACAGAAAAGAAACCCGAAATGTAGTGTGTGGCGTGTGTGGTAATGTGGCCCTAAATGCGTAAAATATGAGAATCCCATTTTTTACAATATAAACAAACAGAACTCAGTGGTATTAAAACTTTGTTATCTAATGCATTTTCCAGTTGCATCTGCCTGCACTGGTACAAACTGAAGTTCCGCGAAGACGACACCGATTCGGAGCAGGGCACGCACAAGAACGGAGTTAGCGTGGTCGAGAGCGGCCACGGGCACGGCCACGACGGCCACAAGGCCGGCCACGACGGCCACAAGGCCGCCCACGAGCGGCCCAAGCTGAAGAGCCAGGCCAGCGTGGGGCGCGACCACGACCTCATCAAGCAGCCGTCGGCCGCCAGCGACGCCTAAGCGCCCGCCCCCACCGAGCGTTCTTTCCGTGCCCACACCCTCTTAGGATTAAGACCTGGTCACGGTCGGACGTTGAGACCCCAGACCGAGCGAAGGCCCTTCGTTGAGTTGAGCATAAAACTTAATCTATCAAAGTAATTGGGTGTTTATGTTCCACTTTTAACGATAATGTTATAAGTTAGTTGCAGTTCGCTTATGTTCTTCTACTATTATGGGCAATCAAATGGCTGAACTCAAACTCAACTCGGCCTTTGCTCACAGGTCCTTACAATTTTACTGTGTATATAGAATTGTATTATCGATGTTTGTTCTCTGCATGGACGACTTGTCCGCGGAGATCATTTCATATCAATTGGTAACATTACCATAAATGCATCTTGCCCACTTGAGCAAGTATTTGTTAATACGATACATTTTGACTCGTATAAATTTAATCAGTGTCTTTCTTTACCGCACTGTACTATACGTAAAGGAATGCAATTATTTTTAAATAACACAATACAGCAACATGTATACATTTGCCACCAGCGATCTAGTTATGCAAGAGGCATTTGAGGAGTTTTACATTATCGAAGTCCTATAGTATCTCGGTGTACGCGTAATTCATGTACAAGTGGTGACTCGTGATGTTTCGTTTAATTAATATATAAATTATGTATAAACATTTTCGATCATGAATAAGAGAGATAAATTGGGTTGAAAGCTCCATTCTCCCGAGCACCACATCGTTATCCAAATCAAAATGCAGGTCTCACGACGAACTTCTTCTGCGGCTTACTCTACCATTTATTTATTCACTTGTGAGCCTATTATTTAATTAGACAGCACCGACAAACATTAAAGTGTAGGCAAGTTAAATGCATCCCATGATTGTCTATATTTTCAATCACAGCTGGAGATGGTCTCTAAAACCAATTGTATTTACTAATATCATATACTATACTCTGTTTTTCAATGAGTAAATGTGAATAGGACATTCATTAAAACATAAATATTTATTGCCGATTGACAAACCCATTCTAAATTACAAAAATATATGCATTATTTTTAAACATATGTCATAATTATGATCTCTCTGAGAGCTTTTTAACATAAAAGCTCCGAACATATCATTTTCATTAGGACCCCTTCATTTCTATTCAGAATTTAAATTCTAATTAAAGATCAAGCTTAATAATTCTAATCTTAATGAGTTGACCCACGTCTCTCAACTGTACTTAATCTATATATTTGTATACATTTTGTGACCTTACTTAAATATATTTTTGAGAACTTTACAAATATAGATAAATCCCGATTGACATTTGCTTTAATGATATTGGCAATTGGTACATACATATAGTATATTAAAATTATTCTTAATCTGTTTACGGACCACACTCATCGTCTCCAAAGGGCGCCATAACCACCGCAAGGTTCACCGTCCGCTCGCTCAAGTGCTAAGCATACGTTGAATTTACAATTTAACGTGTACTTTTCACAGAACCAAAGGAGCTGTCTCGTGTCTACTCTATGAACAACTCAGGATGATATTAGCGCGATCGCAAATTATAAGTGTTACAAACACGTATAATTTACAATCGCACTCTATTCTAGTATTTTCTCTCACGTAAACAATCCGTGCCACAACAAACATATTACAAGTACTATTTAAATAACAAACTGGTTCATATAAATCAAATTTTTGTGTAATTCTTAATATTTTCAAATTAACAGCCGCAACAATGTTCGTAGGGGAGATACGATACGTTTTTCTCAAGACATCTTTCTTCACTTACACTATATTTACAGATAAAAATTGAATAACGTAAAGTTTATCCAATATAAATTGATAGCGTTAAGTATTGAACATGCTTGTATTAACTTAACACATGCATGCGGCCATGTTTTAAAACTTAAAGTAAATTTTATTAGACCATAATGTCTTCTCCGTAAACTTAAGTTTCAATGAAACTCTTCGTCACTTTATATATACGTATATAGTATAAAACTTTAGTTTGTATCCCAAATGTCATAAATAAATTACGTTATAACACTAGTACTACTTGCAACTTGACACTCTTAACGTTTTTTAAAACAATTTGAATCTACGCACAGATTCGGATTAAATGTATGCGACAACAATATCTAAGTGATTCCTTAAAATGGATTACGTTGTTTTTAGGATAAACATTTTTCTGAGAACTTACTTTGTGCGAGATTTGCAAATATGCACTAATTCAAGTAATCTTTTAATATATGACATTATAAACGTTTAACTCGCTACAAGACACTGTAATTTTGATGAATATTTAGACAAATTTGTGTGTTATTGGTGTTTATAATAGGAAATGCATACATATACTACTTATTTAGCTTTATGTACAAGTAGATGTTGTCTGTCAATGTTCTTAATACTGACCCAGCTTTATATTTCAATGAATTTTAAAGTCATGCATTTGAAGTAATATTGTGTCTCCATACTTATTACAATACTTCATATATTTCCGTTGAAATATTAAAAGGTATCGAAATTTATCCTAAGAGACTGAGAAAGTGTTCTAAAGTTATTGCCATGTTTTATTTTCATTATTTCTTGCAGTGACTAACGCTTGCAGGTACAAATTGCTTATTCCTCCTGTATTAGAACTGTACAGTGTAACCCGGGTCCAAAGTGTAGGGCCATTCATTCGGTGATCTGAATACTACCTAATTAACGTTTTTGGACTATTTTAATACCTTCGTTAGGTTTCAAACAAGAGTTTGGGGTATGTTCGTTCAATTTCAAAACATTACCAAACAGTCACAACAAAGCGGTTTTATCTTAATTTATCTCAGTACTTATATATTAGTTTGTTAGATTTTTAGTTTTTATAACTGGAACATTTACTACGGTTTTCTACAGTCTTTGTAAGATGTTAAACTCTCAGTGTTATAGATTAAGTGTCTAGTATTAATATTAACCATATAGAGTCGCTCCAATGACTAATTAGTTAAACATGAAAACCCTTGGAATCTCATTAAGTTTGCCAAAGATTTTGACGCGTCGGATGCTTCGCGGCGATTTGCTTTATTTAGCCGAATTATGTGACGTTTATTACGAATAGGCGATCAACAGAGCGTTCCAAACGTCCTTCTTATGGAATTGTAACCTTTCGAAGTGACTTTTTCGTGCCAAAGGTACCCAGGCTTCGGTAGGCCGCCATAGGTGTGGACCCTAGAGAAGCTGACAGTTATTTAATTTATCACGCGTTTCTAAAAAGCAATCGAGAAAATATGTCACTGTCAACTATCGGTGGGATCCCATTGGTTGGGGATGGAGGAAGTGAGATGCAGAAAAACAGTTTTCTATTTAAGCATCTATTAAACGAGCAAGATGCTCAGATACAATGATGCGTCAGAATTTGGAAAATAATTTCGTGCGTGTCATTTTTTCAACGCTATGGTATTCTTCTTTAACGAAAATATTAGACATTCCGTGGCTTTGTATGCTTCGAAATCGCCATTCGATTATGTGTATTAATAGCGCATTGTATTAATAAGTGTTTAGAGTATGTATGTATTGATGTGTAAACTTAAATGTTATTACGTGGTTAAGAAGAAACGGATTTTGTTTTTCCTTTTGACCTGAAGCGAGCTGAAGCCAAAGCGAGGCCCCGGCGGCAGGTCCTCACTCACCCAACCTTAATACCTAAGCTCTATTCACTGTGATAAAATAATAAATGTAAGGCTTATAAATATGTATGGTCGGGTTTACAAACGTTTGGGAAGGTTTTTACGCGAGAACAGAATTTGGTCGTTTATGAGACGCTCTTGATTTAAAATCGTGCCTCTCGGATATATCACAGTGAATACTTCGTTTCCATTTTCATCTAATCACGGCGTACGTTCATGGACTCCGATCTGGTTGTGGCATCGGCGAGTTCGGGGGCCAGTGGCAGCCCGCGCGGCCCCGCCGGCCCCCGGCGGCCCCACCGCCATCTTCGATCTCTTCATTCGTTTTTAAATATTGACGTGTTTTATATTTGGATATTGATATATTTTAATTTTAATTACGACTGTGCTCTTTTATATCTCATATATTTTATACCGATGTGTCTAAATAAAATGTGAATGGATATAACCTGTGTTTTTTTCGCATCCTCCATGCTCCCACTGGCCGGGGCGGCTACGCCGTGACGAGGGATTTTGCGAGGGATTATTGTTTTATATAAGTCGAGCGACCCTTGAAACCCAGACGCTATCAGCTAGGAGCGCTAACTTAGCGATAGCTTCTTTATCTATATAAGTTGTTTCTAAAAACTTCTGTTCCTGGATATACAAGATATACATAATATAATATATAAGCGAAGTGTTGCCCTCCAGTGACGTTACGCATCATGATGAAGTAATGAATGAAATACGCTTTATTGTACACCAGTCAACATTACAAAAGTAACAAATAATTACATAAAGGTACAATTGGCGACGTTATCGCTTAGGACTGGGCGATTTCTTCCTAGCAACCATGATTCATATGAACAAATAATTTTGTGTTGTTACAAATTTGTTGAAAGCACTCTTGTTTCGCGTTTTCCTTTACGTTTTCGCATATTTTTAATTTGTATTTTTGTGTGGAAGGGGTTTAATAGTAAATCCCAACGACCTAAAAAGATCTATTGTAGGCTTCCCTTCGAAAACACTGCCCCCATACCGTAAGATTTTTTACCGTAGGACGTTTTATTTACATAAATTTCACCTGGGTTATGCCGAAGCCAATACCTTGGCAACTGCGCTCCTATCTCTTGATTTCGCATATAATCTTCTATATATATAAAAATTAATTGCTGTTCGTTAGTCTCACTAAAACTCGAGAACAGATGGGCCCATTTGGCTAATTTTGGTTTTGAAATATTTGTGGCAGTCCAGGGAAGGTTTAAACGATGAGAAATTAAGGAAAAATTGCATAGAAAATCGAAATAGCAACAATTTTATTTTCCCATACAAACTGTTCCTACGTGTCAACCCGTCTTCGGCAGTTAAGCTACAAAGATACAGTAGTATATTTCTTGTATTATGTAGATAATCAATTAAGTACAAAGTTACAAAGTGAACCAACAGTCGAGTTTGAAAGGTCCGAACTGCTTATCTTAACTTATCGCTCTCACTGATGAACTGACTTACTCCGTCCGTAATACTGAGACCAGACACAGCGCACTCCCATGTTTAAAATATAACAGTTGCCCCCGCCAAACGATCAGATCACGTGACTCGTTACGTCACGGTGTTCACTGCTCACCGCTAGAACAATATCAATTGAGTTACTAATTACTGTTAAATTATCGAAGAAATGTATTTTTTTTTTTATATGAGAGGTGACAAGAGAAGCGGTTCAACTGGTGTGAAGTGATAACCGCCGTTTGTCATTTGCAAAACGCGTAGGTTTGCAGATGCGGTACTTACCCGGACGGACCTGCCTGCAGTGGAGACTGTTACCTGCCCCTACCACAGTAAACATATATGAGAACGTGATGTGAATGTGAGGATTTAAAAAAAAAGAAACTACCTCACATTTCAGACAAGGCGGGTAAGAGGTTTACTGAGCAACTTTTAAAAAAACCTGGCTAACGGGCTTCGTTATTCATCTGCGTAAAGACGCTGACCAACCAAACTATTCTCCTAATAATAACGGTTATAAACGCCGCATGAGTTATTCAACTGACCATAGCATGACTACACAGGTTGATTACCACCGCCCATTGATATCCGCCACAATAATGGGAAACGCAAAAGTACCTACCTGTAAAAGTTTAAAGTCCTTTGGAAAAACGTCAACCACGCTTTACATTTATGTAGTAAAGTGAAGAAGCAAAAACGCAGCGTAGCTGAAAAAGAAAATTCTGAAAAGAACTACTGGATTCTGTTTATTAAAATTTCGATATTTTTTACAAGAGCTATGCCAACCACAGATACCACTAGTGAAAATAAAGCGCACCTAATATACTGACTTCATGCTGTCGTCGGCTCGTGGGAACTGGGAAATGCATAGATGATAAATATTATATTATATTTATATATACATACATACATGAAAAAGATATAATCTGGGGAAGTGCTTAGTGACCAGTCACTAATGCACTACCCAGTAGGCCGCTGTACACAGTATGGCAACGCCGCGTTAAACGTACGCGCGAACGCGACTTTGACGCTCCCTAATAAGTAAGTGTTGCCGTATTAAAACATTTCGCCGTGATATTGGTGACATTAAGTAAGTTGTGGTAATAATTTATTTACTTGCCATTTGTTAAATACTCTTTCTTGTATAAAGTTAATGAAAAGTAACAGTCTATATATGTCCCTCTACTGGGTATAGGCCTCCTTTGTATTAGGGCATAGTCCACCATACGACCCCACTACGGAGTAGCAATAGAAATGTATATTTTTGTTATTATTTAGAGAAGATGCAAGTTTCCTCTCCTTCGTTGTTCGATGTTTTCCTTCACCGCTGAGCACGTCATCAGTCAGCAATTAAAATTAACGATTTCTTTGCTGCTGGTACCAAGATTTTTTTTCTCTAATCGAAGCAATTGTTGGTTTTTATCAATATCCAAAAATGAACCATTTTCAACTCACGCTCAATCATTTATTTATTTAAAAGGTTCACCTATCATTAGCGATTTATAAGAAGTTAGAGCTATTAAAGGTGAGCTCTATAAAATTGCTTTTCTATAAAATTTTATTATAACACAAGCATAAATATCCTTAGTGACGTAAAAGAATGTCAAAAAATATAAAATGTAGACTGATGATTAGGTGAAATTCCTTGTGAACCATGGCATCACATGCGACCGCCGGGGCGTGCCAGTAAGCGTTAGAAAGCGTTGACGCGCGGACCGACAAGTAAACGCGCGGCAAAACTGCCACAATGCCCAAGCGGAAGTCGGAGTTCTCAGAAGGGGCCGTCGTCGCCACACTAATACAAGAGGTCAGGAAACGACCCTGCCTATGGAATAGCGACGACCAAGACTACAATGATAGAATTAATATGGGTACAGCTTGGGAGGAAATTAGCACAATTTTGGACGTTTCAGGTAAATATACAACGCACAATTTGTAGAAGCGACACCTAGCGGACATTAACTTACTATCTCATTCAACCCAAAAAATTAAGCTTTCACATTGTGAGATAAATAATTTTCTGAAATTAATTGAAATGAAAAGAATACCAAATTGATTGTCAGGTTTTAATTTTGATACATAATATATTGGACTCTTGGTTTAAGACTATGTATTTCAGCGCCACCTATGTTAACAATGTCTAATGAACATGGTGGGTACCAATTAAACATCATAGGATTTTTTGTAATTTAAAGAAAAACATGTAGAACAAAAATTTTTCTTCATGATCGTAACAAAAAATTGATATTTAAATAATTATTGACACTTTATTGTTCTAGTCGACACAGTACGAATGAAATGGAAGAACCTACGAGATTTTTTCAAAAAAATAATCAAGAAGCGTGGTATCAAAGACGTTGATGATTATTTAGGTAGATGGCGTCATTTTAAATCTTTATGGTTTCTATACAAGCCAGAAATGATGCAAGTCGAAGTCGAAGACGACGATAGCTGTGAAGAAACGGACATGGTGAAATGTGAACCGCTAGATGAAATCTCTCTAGACGAGCATGATCCAGTCTCAGCTAAAAGACGCCGCACTAGCACCGAAGATGATTTCGATGTTATGTTTCTTAAATCTCTAACACCTTTTTTAAAGCAATTACAGCCGATTCGAAAATTAGTGGTTAGAAGCAAAATACAAGAAATTTTATTGAATGAAATCGCAGCACAAAGTTCCGCTAATGAACACTTTTATTAATCTTTTCGTCTGCTTTTTCATTAAGAAAATTTCGAAACAATTAATAATCTAGGATTCAGTGCTGTGCAACTAGTAGGTACCTGCTATCACTTTGACCACACAATCAACATTGAAAGAAACTTAGCACAGACTGATTATTTAAAGCTTGCATTGCGATAAGCTTTTATTCCTATGCAATGTTGTTCACGTAGAGCAGGGCTCTGTTCGCGGGAACTGTGTGCAGCAGACCGTAGTTGGGACAAACACTGGCTGTTGACAAACCGCGATGTGCATAGGTAGATTACAAACGTTTTCCATTTCGCTGATACCAGGCGATACCGATCCTCGTGTAATGATTCATGAGGATCCAATTAAATCCACTGTACACTTTTTTGAAGTTTCAATTTATCGAAACGTTTCTTCATTATTATATTTCATTATTGAAAAAATATAAGTACAGTTTTCGTTTTAAATCCGAAAGGTGTGTTAACAACGAAAGTGCTGACGAATGTGTACAGTGACAGGAGGATTTGGCTTCGTGAAAAATGTCACTCATATCTTTCTACACAGACACATAAAAGCAGTGCTTTAATTATATTTCATACTGTGAATAAGGTGTGAATCAAAATTTTATTATGACTATAAAAATTTGGCTGTCGCTTTATTGGGCCAGTCCAGTAGTCTGGTAGTCTGCCTCGCTGCTACAGTTGATAACATCGTTAGCCGTTTGTTACGCAACTGTTGAAAGAGTATTTGGTGGGAGGGAGCATCGTTAGTTTTTGACCTATTGGGCCGTGTAAGCTGGTATGTGGCCTGCGGCATCATGAGTGTGCCGCGTGACGTCACACCCGATAACGGGAGCAAAGGTTGATGAATTCATTCGACGCCGGGGACGATGCCTATTTTTGTATGTTAAATTCGTCTCCAAATAGGTTCGATTTTTTTCGCTCAAGAAAATATTTGTATGACCCATAGATAATTATGTGTTCATGTTCGAAGTGCACAGCAGATCAATAGTTTTCGAAAATTTTCGTAACTAAAATGCTGAGATGTTGTTTGCGACGTCAAGGACCTATTAGAGACAGGCAAAACATTGCGGTCGAATTTACGAATCGAACACGAACCTAAACCTTGTGGTGGGATTGCATTTGGAGCCTTATTGGTCATACGGCAGCACAGCAATAGACGAAGGAAGCGAGTGACGAACGGAGCTATGTGGACTCGTGCTGCTCAGCCTCCGGGTCCTACGCGCCATCGTCAATGAACGCACGCCGTGTTCTGTGCACGAAACATCCTCCCTAACACACGATCGTGTTCAATAAACACTAAATTATTCATTTACCGCTTTTAATTGTAACTGTCCAACGACCAACCCCCAAAGCCAAATGCATAGAGGACTATAAAAAACATTCATATTTCAAATATAACAAACAAAATTTATCTTATAGGGAGCTGGAGATATAAAACGTACATGACTATACACACTACGGTACGAATCACAAGTAAAGTAAAAAAAAGTAAACTAACAGCCTATTCATGTCCCACTGCTGGGCAAAGGCCTCCTCTATACAGAGGGTATCAGGGCATAGTCCACCACGCGGCCCCACTGCGGATTGGCGGACTTCACATATCTTCGAAATATATATATTTTTTTGTTATTATTTCGAAAATATGCAGGTTTCCTCACGATGTTTTCCTTCACCGCAGCGCAAGTGATAAGTCAGCACTTAAAGTTAAAAACTTCATTGGTGCCGGCGCCGGGGATCGAACTCGGGTTGCTCGAGTATATTGAATTAAAGGCGAGCGCCCGGACACTGAGCTATCACGGCACTTATACATCACAAGTATTCGTAATAAAAATTACTCGGTCAATGAGGGCAAGAAAGCAGGAAAAAACAATTTTTACTAAACTATGTTAAAATCGCAGAGGTTCCGAAGCTTCGGGCAGTGGCGCTCCTTCTTTGGGGAAACTTTGCACAATTTTCAAAAGGTTGTCAAAGCATCTGGAACCCTCGGGTGTAGCAGATGCCCGTAGGCGGCGGTATTCACTTAACATCAGGTGAACCGGCTGCTCACTTGGCAACTTTTCACGTTAAAAAAAACTGGAATATGCGTTCACGATTAAATCAAGGGTTTCAGTCCTGACCCTATTTAGGAAGCCGCGGCATTATTATTGACTGACATTATAATAACATAAAATATATTGATAGCTGCAAACGTTACATATTTGTTTTAAAGCTTCGTTAATGTTAATGATTAACTGCTTGTTTGCAACTTAAACGCTTTAGCAACTCTTGACTTATAAGTAATGTATGTAACTTACATCCGGAACGTGCTTACATCGCTAGATAAATAACGTAAATAAATTATATGCAAAGCCATTGTTTAGTAAAAGAAAATCATGACAAATGAGGGAGTGGTTCTGCTGATGGCAAGTGATTTCATTTATGTACTTTCGTGAATTAAGCTCTAAATCTTATTTCCTATTTATTTTTCTGAAAAGAATAATATTGCTTAATATAATTAGATTTTTTTATTCACTTTCATTCCTAATTATTTATATTGTAGGTAGACCTACTCGTTACTCGTTGCACGTACAAATTACAATGCACTCGTTGCGATAGCATAAAGTGTAAAAGTTCAAGTAACTATAGAAAGATGTCGCTATGGCTCATTTAATAAGTAATAACTACATGCAGGCTATACACAGGCTAAAAGCTATTCTATAAAATTCGTTACTTAATAACTTTTAGTTCGTAACAGTTAAAGTAAACCCTTTTTTCCGCATTACATACAGACAAGATCTCCATTATTTAATTATATACAACTAACAATCAATTAAATCTTCATACGCTTAAACTGAACGGAAAAAGGGGAATACACGGAGCGAACCGTATTTGGCCGTTTACACTGGCGTCGGTGAAATACATACATTTATTAAAATTAGATTAGGAAAGGTAAGTTCATAGACAGTGGTCAGTTCCGTACTTTTCTGTCTCGTATTTAGTCCCCGCTTAGGAGCAAGCGCCTAGTAAGCGCAGAAATTTACGGATTGAACTCTCATCTCGCATGTGAACTCTACTCATCTATTAAACAAACTGATATTTGACAACAAGTCGCTCCTAATCATAACTTCACAGTCACACGTATTTCACAATTATTCTTACGCTGGAGACTAGTGATGGGACCGATTGAAAACAATTACTTACATATAATTCGAATTTTACCATATTAAAATGTCATCAATTACTTGTTGTCGTTTCATTTCTTTAATATGTTTTACTATCACTTATAACTTGTTTCAAGATATGGGGTACCTTGAAACAAATTAAACGAAATTATACATTTTATAGGAAATCGTTTTTTTTTTCCAAAATAATTATAGCTGAAATATTTAATATAATATTTAAATAATTTAAATTAGTTGTAAAATGTTTGTTGTTTAATTATTGTGTTAATTAAACAGTTTAAGTAACTATTAAATTAGTGAATTGTATAGACGAAAGAAATAATTTTAAAATACTTTTATAAACAAGTAAACATATTTAAAAAACATATTTTAATTTAAAGATTTTAATTGATAATAATTAAACATTCATTTATTATAAGTCAAATCTTACATCCTTGACAGGTCAAGAGCCTCATACTTCATTTAATAGGTTTATGTACGAGACTCCTGTTATTTTAAATAACAATTTAAGTTGTTAATTTTTAAGGATAACAAATCCAGCAATGAACATACAGTTTTCAAAGGGATATAAATGTTTTGTATTTTATAATTTAAATCAGCAAAAAGATAGATTAGGTACTATTTCCCTTTTAATTTAAAACCAATTAAAATGTTATGAAAGAAATTTTTAAAACCAATTAATTATATTAAATTTAACGAAGACATATAGCGGAGAAAAGCATCATCTCTTTTACTAAGACTCTTAAAACGATTAAAAAAAAGGGATAATTAAGGAATTGTCGATTTTGTCACCTTTTTGAAGTTATTTTTATTTTACTCGTAGTTTTTGAATTGTTTCCTTCTCGTCGTTATACACATTTAATAAGTCGATATTCTTCTGATTCCGCGCTCTTATTACTGGGACGAGCGAAGCGCGCGGCCTGCGGCGCACACCACTAGTCGAAAGTTTGGAAGCGCGGCTTGGCAACGGCGCACGGCGGGCGGCGGCGGCGGCCGCTGCAACCCAAACAAAACACGCGCGGGACGGCAACGCCGCGTCGCGCCGCCTCGCCCGTTGAATCGATCCCTCCTGCGCGACAGAGACAGGTTTCACTTGCAATAGTGCAGCACTACCACCTTAATTACACTAAATTAACTATTTTTATGTCGTTAACTCGTTATTACTCTGTAACTCTCTACTCAGCGTTTATGTAAACTAGTAAAATATTGGTTTTCTTATATTATTACCTTTACTTTTGCTAACAATTATTTTTCCTGATTAACCGCCACGTACCTACATTAAATATGTTTACATTAATGAGAAAAATGAGTTGTGTCGTATTGGCTGTGAGCGACATTTTTAAAATTATATTTTAATATGAGAAATATCTTTTAACAATTTTTATCACTTAAACTTACACGTATAGGTAATTAACTGATTCCCTGAGGCCTTGCATCTAAGTAAACTCAAATTATTGCTGGCTCAGTTAAATTAACCGTAACGAAACTTCTTGTGTGGGCTCGTGAGGAATACTTAATGGCCATATCAAATACTTATATTCCTTTTCAAAAACTTAAATAATATAATTAATATTTGTACATATCATTTACCTACATTAAAAAAAGATTTTTTTCTAATTACATATGTCACTAATATACTTTACTAATTGGAATTTAGTTTCTTTATTTGATTTCAATCATGAACTAGGAAAAAAGTTGTTAACATTTCAAAGCCAAAGAATGTTTCTCCCAAAGATTTTTTTTTAAATCGAAGGTAATTATTCTTTAATTATTTCTATCTAATATGTGGTAGAATAAATAATAAATAACGCGTCAAGGAAATCTCATATAATACAAGCTACGGCTCAGTAATTAAATCACCATCCGGCGTGGGGCTCAGGAGGGGGCTGCCGGTGCCGGTGCCGATGCCGGGCCCACGCGCTTCGAAGAGGCGATTTTTGATTTGTCTCGTCTTTGTGCCCCTCAATGGGCGTCGATTCGTCACTCATTGTAGCTCTTGAGTTCACAGCGAATTGTACTCATAAAGGAGGCCGATTGTCCACTGGGGAGATACGCTTATTATGTCGATCCCGCATCAAAGGAACAAATTCTCAACAACAGTCGAAAAATTTAATATGCTGCCTAAATTGGAACGTTTGGCTACAAAACTACTAAATTAGTCAACGGGAATGCTTTGTCAAATTCTTTATTCACGTAGACAACTGACAAATTAGAAAGAGGCTAGAAATGCCATGTAAATAATACTTTTTACTCAAACATTCCAAAACTCATCCAAAAGTAACTAACAAGTTATCTAAGTGTGATAGACTTGTCGTTGTTGTGTAAAACTGAATTCGTTTAGTTTGTTTTTAATATAAATCTCTTAATCGATACTTTTTGATTCTTACCCCGTAAAAGAGCCTGAAACACGTTGTACATAATATTGGCATATACATGGTAATATTATGTATAACGTGAGCTTGGACCAAGTCACCACTGTTTTGGGATTTTGATTCGTCACAACCCAAAAATGTGTACAGCCGTGGTAGGGCCACGCAACTGTCTCCGCTGTTGCCGGATTGGGCAGGTCCTTCTGAGTAATTACCACGATATCACAGAAGACCGGCTTTTAATGGACTTGTTACACTTATGCGTTTCGTTTGGTGAGTGAGGTAGCCGGGGTGCCAATTTATTAAAAGGTGGCAACGCTTTGCAACCCTACGGGTGTTGCAAATGTCCATGGGCGGCGGTTATACCTTAACATCAGTTGAATCGTCAGCTCGCTTGCCATCTTCTGACATAAAAAAGATACTTTACGATGGTTCTGGAACTGGACAATGGTTCAATGATCGCAGATATGGTGTCCGCAGATAAACGTCAGTACACATGCAATGTGCTATGTGAAATCGAGTACTTCATCTAAAAAGCTATGTGTATATTAGCGATAAGAAAAGCATAGTGCTCTCTATCGGCGCAGTAAGTGACAGATGTTATCTCGTCGTGAATAGGAGCCTGTGTTCAGTGTCGACTCTATGCTGATAAGCGAGCTTCCATGGGCTTTATCTAAATACGTCTCTGTCAATGGGCTAGTGTAAGTCGTATTGCTTTCACCAAATTTCTAAAACATCCGAGTCGTTTAGACCATACAAAAAATGGTTGTATAAGTTTTTTATTTGTACGCCATCCCGTCAAACTAATGTATTAGTCATTAGTTTCGATTGCTGAATTTTTGGATAGATTAAATCTCGATGAAGTCGTTATAATTTTAAAACCACATAGATTAGCGTCAACTAGCATATTTACATAAGCAGCGATATTATAAATCAAATTTAAACTCAACATTCTTGAAAGCATAAAAAGATAAAGTACAGCCTACTGAGTACAGTAAAGGATAATTTGCAGTTTCAAATTATTTCAAAACCAACAATTTTGTTGTATTGTCACAATGGGGCGCTGCTGGTATTTACTTTGATTAAAGACACCTACATATAATAGCCACGCGTGTATTTTGAATATGATAGAATTCACGATATTTTTCCAGAAGTATATAATAATATATAATAATTTCGTAAGCATCTAATACGAATCGAATATAGTTTGAATATTGTGGATTCTATTCAGTCGAAAACTCACAAAACCAAAAGTAGTTAAGAAGTTAAGAGAATATAGTATAAGGTTCCTTTTAATGCTAGAAGTGTCCAGCTCTCATCCGCTCCCTAGAAGAATTCTCGTTAACAACCTGTTGCCGTGGTGTTCTTTGAAATCAAATAACCGGTTATTTGAAGTGGAATCGACGTAAACCGACGAAGTAAACCGTAAAGTCGTGCGTCCAAGAGGCCTCAGAAACACAAGATAATTTTGTTTCGCAATAGGAATATTTCCTTTCCTTTGTGGTAATTGCATAATAAACTTTTTCACGTTGATAACATACACACTTTACATAAAACTCACAGTGTGCCATGTGATAGACCTTTCATCGGGTTACTACGGTAAGCCAAGGTGGCAGCTTTCGCTGTTTCACGATGGTCAGGTTCGTTTAGGAAACTACGCATACCACGGCCTCGGAGAATAAAGTTTTATACTTTAGCTTATTTATTTTCTTCTTATAGCTTTATTATGCTATACTTTTTATTCCATACGAACGAAACGTGTTAATGTGTGCTGTCACTCTGTTTGGAAATAGGAACACTTTCAACCGGTGATTTTGTATGCGTTTTTCATATCTATAGTATAAAATATCATTGACTTTAGTGTTAGCTAAGAAGTCAGGTAACGGGGAATTTGACTCACCCTTTTATCCAGATGGTGAAATAACCAGGTTTCATCCTCTTAAAACATGACCGAGCAACTGATCACCGCCGCCACGGATTCGGACTGCCCCATTGGTACGGAACTGCCACTGCCCCATTGGTACGGAACGAGAAATGTTCAGGAGGGCTCATATATTATATAATATCGTCCCAATATTGACCGACTGTTAACATTTCGGTTGACAGTCGTTGTAAATTTATCACTATGGTGTTAATAAGCCTTGTGACCGATATTATCGTTATGCATTACAGAAAATACAAATATTTTAAGCACTTATATTTTGTAATTATGTAGGCAATTCGATACCCGTTACTCCCCCATGCATAGTGTGTTCGTAACCAGTGCATATTTGTAAATACGTCCAGGATGGTTTTTCTTGCCGCCCAGAAAGTAATAAACATTCATTGTTAGCTTTGCATGACTCTGTGTCACTTTGTACTTAACAATAGTAAGGGAAAGGATTAATTCAGAAGTTATGTTTATCAGATTTTGAGCCGGTCGCGAAATAACGACTTTTCATTTGAAATTCAACGATAAAAATTTAGATACTATTTCAATCGTTAAAAAATGACAGCAAAATAAAAATAAACAGCTTGTTTAAAACAATACAGGGCAAAATGTATTTGTCTCTGTCTTACCGCGTGATATAGAGCCGGCGACGAAACTTGATATGGTAATAAATAAAATATATCAATCTATCTCTCTCTGTTAGATGGTGGACCATGCCTGGTTTTCTCTTTCCACCCCGAGTGAAGCCGAGCCCGTGGCGTTCGTTTATCGCTCTTCAAATACTTTAGTTTGGAAGTTGTTCCTTCTAACCTTGAATGTCGGAATTCCGCCGCAAGTCTACCTCCAGGAGTCACTGTCGCTGCCACTAAGTCGCAGAACTTTTTAATGAGTTGTTATTTACCTTTAATATGTGACTGATACATTGAAATGAAATGATACGACTTTGAGCCCATTGTTATTATAAACGCCAAAACGAAATGTTTCATTAAGAACGATCTATATAAAATCCAAGCCACAATCAAGATTAATTTCTTTCTTTAATCAAAAGTTTGCAACCAAGCAGGAGGTTTACTTGATTTTAAATGATAACCGTCGTCCATTGTCTACATAAGCACCAATAGTTGTCAACCATTTCAAAATTGGACTCCTGTTACCTAATTCACCAGACGTAAGGCGAAAGTATAATGCGAAAATACAGACCGTGGTGCTTCCCCAGACGAGCCTGCCATTCGAGCAATAGCAGTAGCTGCTGCATGCCTAGAGGTGCAGTCCAGGATGTATTGGTCTCAATAAGATATCACCTTTGGTCATGATGTTTCTTAGATGATTCAGTGACACTTATAGAGCTTCAAAATTATATTTCCTACTCCTTTTGATCGGCAAAAAGGGGCGCTGGTCATTGATAAAAACCTTCTTATCCTTTACAAACTGTACAATAATACTTAACTATTTGTTTGTTAAATTGATTACTGTGAATTACAAATACGGGATGAAATTAGGAGCAATTTTTGTATTTTTACCTGACATTATGTTAATGTTACATACCTGGATTTTTCATTAATGTCTATATAATAATATTATAATGAATACTAAATATTACTCCATACCAAGTAATATTTATTATTCGAAAAAAATCTAATGTGATTTGTTATCATCGACGGTTACGTTTTCTTTTTGATTGTATGTTGTGATTCAAAAGGGAAACAGTATTTTTACTTATTACTTTTTGACAATACAAAAACTATGTATAAGATGTACGGTATCTAAAAAGAAATAGTTTAATATAGTTAAGGTCGGCAGGACTGCGTGACGTCATTCGGCAGATTGACACCGCGGCTTATTATAGCCGTTCCGAGAAAAGCTCCAATTTGTTTTCACGTCTAACATTACGGAGTTCAGTTTGCATTAGTTGCCAGTTCCTTTTCTTTTATGCAGTTTATAGTAAATATGATAAGTACTAGCGAAGGTTGTTTCAGTTGGCAAGTTTTTGACTTGAGCTTTCATTTGATTCACGTTCTATTAATATTTTTAAATTTTGATTTTAGTTCACCTATGACGTATATGAAAGTAAATATTTATTGAGAAAAGGATTATTTGACCAAAGTTGTGGCATTAAAACTGTTGCTTCCCCAAATTTAAGAGTGGAAACTTGGCGTCTATACTCAGACTTCAGTCTAAAATATAATCGGGACCTTCTCTAACTTTAGAGACCGTTGCCTTGCTCGAATGGCGGAATCCTTACAATGCAGGTTGTATACGAAACTTGTTTGACCAGAATTGAAAGAAAAAAGTGGCGGGCAAGTTCGCCTACAATAGCATTCCGAGCCCGTCGTCCCGCCCGCGACCCGCCCCCCGCCCCGCCCGCGCGTCTCGCCGCGCCGCAGTCCGCGCCCGAACGCGCCCGCGTGCGTTGTGCTCTGCTCTTCGTGATACTAAAGTGCCCATAAAACAATGTGCACAAAACGCAACATACTCTGATACAAAACACAGTCAGACTGCATCATTAAGCAAATTTGACTTTTACCCTTCCTCGTTGGCAACGATATTGGAACTGTCAAATACCAGTTCACTTGAACAAGTCATTTGCATTGACACAGTGAAGGGATGTTTTATAAAAAGAAACCGGTTAAATGAGTGTTAAGGAAATTTGTGTGCAGTGCTATTGCGATCTCGACTATTATTTGACACT